CAGGGCTCAGTGCTCAGAGTCACCTGGGGGCAAATCATCACTTCTTCTGTTTTACTATGTGGCTGCTACAAGTCACCTTAATTTTTTTCTTCAACATGCCTGGGACTATCCCAGGCACTGGGAATACTGCGGGGAATGAAACCTACAAAGAGCCTGCCGGCTCGGAGCTTACAGCCCAGCGTGGGGAGAGTGACCATCAGTATGTTCACATCTCTGTTGGAGCTGGACCCGTGCCCCCTCCCTCCAGCTGCTACCCCATCCCTCCTTCCCTTTAAAGCAAACACTGTCAGAGGCTTATATAGACTCTGCTCCAACGGCTGTGATGGATTTATCTGTCTGTGAGAAGAGCATTCTTGGTGGAGCAAATAGCAAGTGCACAGGGATGTTCAGGGGATTCAAATAGTCCAGCTGCTGGGGTGGGTGGGAGGGCAGCAGGGGTTGTTGCCGAGTCCAAACTCGTTCTGCTCACTGCTTGACAGGCTTATAAATTGGGAGGTGAGTTGTTGAGGCAAGGAATAGTGACTTTATTCAGAAAGCCGGCAGACCGAGAGGACGGCAGACTAATGTCTTGGAGAACCATCCTGCTGCAGTCAGAATACAGGCTCCTTTAATATAAAAAAGTAGGGGAGGGGGTGTGGTTGGTTGTTGCAAACTTCTTGCTGCAGGAATTCTTTGTTCTTGCAGCCGTCCACGTGGGCCAGGTCATGGTGTCCCTGTAAACTTCCAACAAAACAAAGGTTATTCTCTATTTTGCAACTGGCCATCTCCCCCTAAGTGCAGAAGTGCTAACATCCTTAAGGGTCAGAGCCCGGAGAATAGGCTCTCCTGTGTGTTTCAGGCTAAAGGCAACACTGTTTCACAGAAGGTGCAGAGCCAGCAAGACTGAGTCTAGAAATCAGGGCGCAGTGGTTACAACTGAAGGAACAGATCCAACATAGAGTCAGATTCATTCTCCTCTATTACAGCTACTTGGGAGATGATTACACTCTTCTCTCAACTTTTTTTTTTAATCATACTTTTTTAAAAAAAAGATTTTTTCAATCATTTTTTAGAAGGGAGAGGTAATTCGGTTTATTTATTTACTT